AGAGAGAGAGAGAGAGAGAGAGAGAGAGAGAGAGAGAGAGAGAGAGAAACCTAAACTTCGTTTATGGCTGACAGGAGGGGCAAGGGTGATTGCTGCCAAGGGTGACAACCTGAGTTCCTGAGTTCCTGAGTTCTATCTACAGAACTCATATGGTAAAAGGACGGAACATTTCTACAAGTTGTTCTGTGACCTACACACACACACACTACACACACACACACACACACACACACACACACGATATAGAATGTCTCCCCTTAAGTAAATAAATAAATGTAATAATATTTTTCTCTTTTAAGAACTCTTAATTTGAGAAACTTACTAACAGTTCAGTGCATTAAGCAAACTGGTCTGTATTCAGATCAACTTTACAGACACAAGGAGGTCTTTGGATTTTCCTCTACCCACTGCCTCTGGTTGGTCCTCTCAGGAGCTGGTATGAATGCCTGTCTGATCTGCAAGCACATGTCATGCCTTAGTTCTCCACTAGTGCCCTAATGCCTCCTCTGACCACAAGAGCCTCCTCTCTAGTGCTCAGTGCAGAGATCATGCAGATGCAAACGCTGAGGAAGTGGCTGTCCAAAGTCAGAGAGGGAGGGGAGGAACGGAACGCAGTGGCAATAAAATTCCAGTTCTCTATGCTGAGTAGTATGCCAAGACTTTTATTTCTTTTCAGAAAGAATCAGAAGCCAAGAATGTGATAAGAGCCGGGTGGTGGTGGTGCACGCCTTTGATCCCAGCACTTGGGAGGCAGAGGCAGGCGGATTTCTGAGTTCGAGGCCAGCCTGGTCTACAGAGTGAGTTCCAGGACAGTCAGGGCTATACAGAGAAACCCTGTCTCGAAAAAACCAAAAAAAAAAAGTGATAAGAACCCTCTGTAAAAATAACAACAGTTCAGAAAAATACAGAGAGGCATAAAAATTATACGGCTTTAAAGATTTATCTTAAAACTCTAATCCTTGTGTCCTGTGCACAGTTAAAGGTTATGATTCACAGTGTGGCCTGAAGTTGAAGATACAGGAGAATATCCATGCAACTGCAACCAGCCTTGCACACATGTTGTAAGTCAAGCACCGATTGTGCCCCTGCCTTACCAGCAGCACGGTCTCTCAGTGCTCCTCCTGGATCATGTCCTGTTGACCACGAGCGAGTCCATCTCCTGCTTCCAAGCACCACAATGGAACAGGAACCAGGAACATGGAGAGTCTTTTGAGGGCAAGCTGCCGAATGTGTACCAGCCTAGAAAGACAGAGTTTGCTTGGTTTTAGTTTGCGAATAGGATCAGGGCATCTATGCTTATTACTAAAGGCATGATACGCTGGTCGAAGCCAGGCGGTGGTGGCGCACGCCTTTGATCCCAGCACTTGGGAGGCAGAGGCAGGTGGATTTCTGAGTTTGAGGCCAGCCTGGTCTACAGAGTGAGTTCCAGGACAGCCAGGGCTATACAGAGAAATCCTGTCTAGAAAAATAACAACAAAAAACAAAAAACAAAAAAACAAAAACAATACACTGGTTGAAAGGGTCAGAGGCCGAATTACATCCCTGAGTGTTAAGAAAAAAAAGAATTAAGGTTAAAACATTTTTATCAAAGCAGTGACACCTTCAAATGTCCCAATAAAAATCCCATCTGTGTAGAGCACTTTGAGACACACAAGAACCAGCAGCTTAGTGCTTGTGATGGTCAACTAGGTTCCTACAGTACCACTGACTTAATTACTTGATCTGTTGGGCTCAGTGCCCTGAAGCCTGGGCTGCAAGAACAGCATCTCAGTGCTCTCATGAGCCCTTCACCCAGATACTCTGACCTGAGGACTATGGTAGGACTTTGTCTCCAGTGATTCTATGGAAGGCAAAGTTGAAGACCAGTCATTTAAGCCTTGGCGCTTACTGAATGAAGCACTCGGTTAACTCAGTAGCATTTACTCTGTATATACCATGTGAGGGCAGTGTGCTGGGTGCTGTGGAAAGAGAAAGGCCTTACAACGGGTAGTCTCTGTGTTCTGGAGCTTTCATTTTCTCTAATATGCATTTTTTTAAAATTACCAGTAAAGAAAAATATGTTGAAAACAACAGAACCTAATCTACCAGTCAAAGACACAGCAAAAGTCTTGAGTGCTGTTGCCCTTGGAGGAAATTTAGACTTCTTTTTTTTTCCCCCCCCTGAGACAGGGTTTCTCTGTGTAGCCCTGTCTGTCCTGGAACTCACTCTGTAGACCAGGCTGGCCTCTGCCTCCCAAGTGCTGGGATTAAAGGTGTGCGCCACCACTGCCTGGCAGAATTTAGACTTCTAAGAGTAGGGTGGAGTTACCTGAGAGATAGATAGGATTCCCCGTCTTCTACAACCTTACTAACATGCATTATTGTATGTTCCTTTAATTATATTTATCCTCACGAGTGGTAAATGGTAAAGGTACTAGAAATAATGATAGGTAAGATTAGTACTACAGCTATGCATGAAGTGACTGAGTCTGAAAATGAATAGTCTGAAACTGAGTCTGAACCAAAAGGAAAACGACTAGCTGGGGAGCTACTGTTAGTGCCTAAACAGAAGTTCAGTGACATCCTAGGTATGTAGAGAGAAAAGAATGACTCATCCTTTTTTGGGTTTCATTGACAGGATCGGTGATGACATCAACCAGATAAATGCATCATTATTCCTGAAAGGAAAGCTGAGAGGAGACATAGACTTCACCTCAATACTCTTGAGGAAATCTAAGGATTTCCAATAAATAAAGATGAAATTTAGGATCTTTCTCTCTTCCCTTTCCCTTTCTACTTTAACCCCATTCTCCGTTCTCCCCCCTCCCCGGCCCCTATCTTTCAAATAAATTATGGTAAGATTTTGATGGTTTGTATATGCTCCGCCCAGGGAGGTGCTGTATTAGAAGGTGTGGCCCTGTCGGAATAGGTGTGTCACTGTGGGTGGGAGTTTTAGGACCCTCATCTCAGCTGCCTGGAAGTGAGTATTCTGCTAGCAGCCTTCAGATGAAGATGTAGAACTCTCAGCTCCTCCTGAACCAAGCCTGCCTGGATGCTGTCATGCTCCCACCTTGGTGTTAATGGGCTGAACCTGTAAAGCAGCCCTAATTAAATGTTGTCCTTATAAGAGTTGCCTTGGTCATGGTGTCTGTTCACAGCAGTAAAACCCTAACTAAGACAGATTAAAAGAGTGTCTTTGCCATTTCCTAACACACATACTTGAGGTCTCTCCAGCTGAGTTCAGCCACTTACAGACAGAACATTAAAGAAGGCAAAGGGGATTCTGCCGTCTTGTTTTCTGCTTAAAATTTAAAATAGTAAAACAATGCTAAATACTACCAGGCCTTCAATTGTAAGCCTCTTGCGTTGGAATACTTCTGTGTACATGGGACTGTGGTATCCTCCTCTCAGATGGACTGGAGCGTGCTCAGAGAGACTTCCCTTCAAGGCCTGGCGCAGGTTCAGGAGTCCTAGAAGACTGAGTGTTACTACAACTTGTTATCTGGTTGGCCGGAACTCCAGCTGGCAAACTGTCAAAGAGAACCATGACGGTCCAGTTTTCCATGACCCAAACAACCTCTTAGCAAACAACTAACAACGGAACTACTAGCAATGGACCACTGTAGTCTATAAAGTGCAATCCTTCTGAAATTAATGTAGTTCCTAGACAGATTTTTCTCCTTAAATTGAAATCTATTTTAATTTTATCCTTATTAGTTATTCAGTTTTTTTAAAAACAGATTTTCTAGGTGATAAAATTTAAAATAATAAGTTAAAGAGCTATGATCTACTAAAGGCCTTTGGGCTCATTTAGGTTCAACATAAGTGTTTCTTGTATGTAAGCTATGTAGTTCCTGAGCCTCTACTCGGATCTACCACGTTCATGTGTCAGGACCCAATTCACCATTTCAAATCCTAGAAGTGCATTTTCTTTCCTTTCTTCCTTTTTTTTTTTTTTTGTATGTATGGAAGGTATGCATCTGTGTGTGTGTGTGTGTGTGTGCGCGTGCTTGCTTGCTGGCCTTCATCTTCATTGACCTACATGCAGTGAAGCAGGGTCTCATACTGAACCAGCAGCTCTACAGTTCTAGCTGGTCTAGCTAGCCAGCTTGCCCTGGGTATCTCTGCCTCTCCGGTGCTGGGATTCCAGGAGGCTTCCAGGCATGCTTTTGTGTGGATTTTGGGAGTCCTCACACTTGTGCAGTAAGCATTTCACCCACCAAGCTGTGTCTCCAGCCAAAGCAGGCCTTTAACAGAAGAAAAAGAAATCTCTAAAAGTCAGTCACTCAAACTATAAATGTGCACATGCATACAAGTAATGTATGCTGTGTCTAATATATTTCTTTTGAAATTCTTTATTATTTTATTTTAATGAACTATCTCATTCTCTATCTATCCCAGGCTGGCCTGAAACTTACTCTGCCAATCAGGCTTGCCTTGATCCCCCTTCCTCAGCCTCCTAAGTACTGGGATTACTAACAGAAGCCACCACTCCTGGGGACAACGTCACCCTTTGTCAGTACTTGGATCCATTGTTAAACAAATGTCACGAAGGCTCCTAGTTTGGAGCCTTGGGTCTGGCCTTTCCCTGTTGAGCCCTTCCAAGCCTCCCAGCATTAGCTGCTTCCTTCTTGTCTTTGCCCGCTGAGATCCTCCTGGTCTAAATGGGGTCAGAGTAGTGTGCACTGCAACGGCAGGTTACTGACCTCAGCAGGGTGTGTCCACAAATTGGCTTTCCCCTTCCACACACACCCAGCACTAGTAAATGACCTCAGCTGCCCAGTTCTCAGAAGAAAACACTATTTCAGATTCTCAGCAACTTGGCAGCAATGGCTCTTTCCTTATTAATGCTTTAAAAATGATTACACCAAGAACTGCTTTAAAGCAAAGCCAGGAGAAGAAAATTAAAGAAGACCTTGTGTTATTTCTGCTCTTGTTCCTCCTAACTTATACAAAGTGTGACTCTGAAGGGGAAGAATTCAGCAAGAATTCGCAGAACAAATTGCAGCAAAATTAAAACAAATATGCCCCACCTAAGTTGTTTCTTGTCAAGTCTTAGAGACCTGAAATCCCAAACAAATCTGAAATATTAGCCAGCATTGAAGATACTATGGCCATCATAGTGTTTGCACCGCACCAAGAGATAGCTAGGAGCCAGGCAAAATGTCAGAGGTACCTATAAATTCTGCACCATGACCTGATGATATATATATAAGTCAAGTTACATACTCACTAGAAACAAAAAAAAAATGTTGTGAAGAAAAAGTTATAGTAAGTATGTTTAAAAATAAAGATGGGACACCCACTTTGGAAGAAAATGAGGAAAAACACAGCCAAGTGTAGTACTGTGCACTTCAGTTATCTCAGCAGACAGGAAGCTGAGGCAAGAAGGTTGCCTACTCTGTTCCAAAAAAATGTCAACCATACAAAAGGAAAGTGTATGGAAGTTTCTGAGTCTGGAGTACAAACACTTGACACTCTGACACCTGCCAATATTTGACCTCTTTGGCCAAAGTCTGGGCCAATGGCAGGTGTGTCTAAATCTTTAACTCTGAAAACCAGCAAAAGATATGGTGTACTTTAAATCCACTAAGTAAGAAATAAAACTTCCGCTGGGCAGTGGTGGCGCACGCCTTTAATCCCAGCATTTGGGAGGCAGAGACAGGTGGATTTCTGAGTTCGAGCCCAGCCTGGTCTACAGAGTGAGTTCCAGGACAGCCAGGGCTATACAGAGAAACCCTGTCTCGAAAACAAAACAAAACAAAACAAAACAAAAAAAGAAATAAAACTTCCTACAACAGTGGTACCATCCTGATATCCAGACATTTTGAAGATTCTCTCTGAAAATCCCATATAAAGGGAAGGAGAAGAAGCCGGTAGTGGAACACACCTTTAATCCCAGGACTGAGAAGACAAAGGCAGGCAGATCTCTGTGACTTCAAGGCCAGCCTGGTCTACAGAACAAGTTCCAGGCAGCCAGGGCTACACAGGTTAACCCTATCTGGAAACAGAAGAGGGTAGGAGGACAAAGAAGAGGATATAACGTTTGCACTGGTTTTAATGGTTCACCTGTCATTTCTTTTTTCTTCAGACAAAGAACTTTAGGCATGGTGATTGTGGTTGTTTAAATGAAAATCCCCCCTTTAGTCTCAGGCCTTTGAATACTGAGTCCTCAGATTGTGGCAGGGTTTGGGGAACATGTAGAAGACCTGGCCTTGTTAGAGGAAGTATGAACCTGTGGGTGGGCTTTGAGAATTGAA